AACATTGTTACACCTATTTTGGGAATGTTCCCTTTCCTTTTTTATTTATAAGCTTAATTAAGTAACCTACAATTCTTGCTTATGTCCTCCTACAGTTCATTCTTCATTTCCGTATAGTTGTTGACTTGTTTCCAATCATCACAACTTTTTAGTGATGAAGCATGCCTTGATGGAAATGTTATATGCGAAACTGCGAACAAATTAGATAATATAACTTTGTATCCATGAAGGCTAAAAGCTACAATCTGGATTCAAATTTTCATGATATGAGTTACATCATAAGATGAAGAGACATATTAGAACATGTCGAAATGATCTGCAGTTTTGAACTTTCACTGTGATATGCTTATATTTTCATTGCTGGCTAATCTCATTCTGTTAAACCAAAGCTTACCTAGTCACCTGCTTACCCTCCTTCCTCTCTGTATGGCAGAACCCGAGCCTTAATTGGTCATACTATGGTTTTGAAAGGTGAAGCCGGCCTCTGTATAGCTTGTTGGCTTCAAAAGAAACACATCCAAACACCCTCTAGAGTTGTAAGTAGATTGTAATAGCTTGGTTGAAAATCTACAATTCCACCCTTTTAAAAACATAGCTGTTATGAAGATTTATTAGTTTAAACATGTTTGAACTTTAAACACATTCTACTTCTTTTTGAATGGCTTTTTGACTAATAGTTGGTTTTCATCATCTGTTTAGCTTTTTTCTTCAGAAGGTATTTCACAACATATATAGTTGGTGTTCAAAAAAGAAGTAGAATGAGTTTTGTTAATATTTGGTGAATCTTTCTTCACAAAAGTAAATCTTTTTTCATCATCTGTTTAGCTTTTTTCTTCAGAAGGCTTTTTTCTTGAGAAGGTATTTCACAACATATATCATTTTACCAAATATTGTAAAATGAGTTTTGGTGTCATCATCACATTAAACAAAAAAAAAAACAATGAAGTGCCAACAACAAATACTGGTCTATTTATCAAATGTCTAACTTGCCAAGTTGCCATGCCACTAACAATTGCAGAAACCCTTATATTGGTCTGCTCTGCCACTTCCTTGATGTAATCAGAGACCTGGTTAAAATGTAACACTTTTAACGAATCAAAAGCATCCTGTATACCTCACGTTGTCACATTTAACTCACACAGTAGTGTATCGAGAAGGGGGGCTAGGGAGCAACTCACCCCCTAACTTCAATGAATTCCTATAAGAGCACAATCTGTAATTCAAACTGAGCTAGGAGCATTTCAGCAAGCTATCAAATGGACGGTGGTAGCTGGGTACAACAACTCCAACTTGGAATCTCACTCCTACTTTCATTCAATGTGGAATCGTCAAGAAATCATCTTTCATTCTTTCCCTTGGCTGTGGGGGTGAACTTCTTATGGTTGCAGTAGATTTGTTATGGAGTCTCTAACCAATATGTAGTGCTGTAGTGGGGTATCTATCATTGGAGAGGGAGGAGCCGTTTGCAAATATGCTATGCATAGAGACTCTCGCGTGGAGTAGAAGAAAAACAGGCATTAGTGCAACAGTAAAGAAAAAAAGGTATTAGCAGCCTGGGAATGCAGCTCTGTCTATAGTAGTTAGTAGCGTTGGAAGACATTGTCATTCTCTGATTTTTATCCAGAATTTAGAGCAATGTGATGACTGCTTCAATCACTTTTGCCTGTTTCTAGAGAGAAGCTAATTTAGTTGCTGCATATGAAAGATTAGATTGTAGTTTTAGAGTTTACTCTAATACTTGTAGTCATCAATCTGTTAAGGGTGGACGTGGTGGTTTAATGTCAGTTTTCTTTAATAAAATCCTCCTTTATTAATATACACATATTCATATCCATACATGTGAATAAAAAATTGTTAATCGATCCCTAAATAAAAGTCATTTAATTATCACTCGTTTTAGATAATTTATTTTGACTTATAGGCTTATAGCATTTTATACTTATTATTTATGTTGATAACTATAGTTTTGCAATGTTACAAATGTGTTAATTTTGCCCCGTCCACCAAAGATCTTGACACACTACTGACTGCTCAAGCTCTCATGTCAATAAATTATGTTATTGAACAATCCCATTTGTTAAGATACAAGTTCGGTTATAAGGTTGTCTAATGCAGTATTTTGAGCACAAGAGTCCTTGACTATAGCTTCCCATGAATCAAAATCAAACATCTTTTTCCTCTTAGCCATTACCTCAAAAATGAAGGACACATCATCAACATTCCCAAGGTCAAATAACCCCACTACTAAACGACGAAGTGTTTCACTCCGTGGAAAGTGTCCGCTTGTTGACATTGCATTGAAAACCTTCAAACCTTCTTCAAAGTGTCCCGCCTTACAGAACCCATCAAACACCATTCTGTAAGTAATGGCAGCCGGTCTGCAACCAGCAATCTGCATTTCAACTAAAACTCTGTAAGCCTCAACAGCTCTATCTTCTCTGCAATAATAACCAACAAACACATTGTAGATCGAAGCATCGGGCTTGAAATGCCTTTTCTTCATCTCAACCAGCAAACTTTTCGCCTCTTCTATCTTGCCTTTCTTCCCAAGATCACTCATCAAAACACCATAGTTGACAATCCGTGGTTTACACCCTTGGTAATCCATATCAAACATTAACTTCCGGGCATCATTGTACTTTCCTAATAAACACAAACCTTCCATCAGTAAAGCATAGGTGACCTCATTTGGCTTCTTCCCTTTCCTAACCATATCCTCGAACAAACGTTTTCCCTGTTCGAACTCACCCTTTTTACACAAGAACCCAATTTGAGTATTGTACGTCACGACTGTGGGCTCAACTTCTCTGTCAAGCATTTCATCAAACAGTTGGCGGGCGCTTTCAGGTTCGCCCTTCTCAAGATACATCTTTATCAGGATATTGAAGGAAACAGAATTCGGACGAAACCCCAAACTAGAAGAACCCCTGAACATGTCATCAGCTTCTCGATGCCTCCCATTCTCCACCAACACATTGAGCAGCGCGTTGAAGGACTGCAGTGAGCGGAGACAGTTGAAAGACACCTTCATCTCGTGGAAAAGACAAATCGCCTTGTCAACAAGCTGGCATTTTCCGTAGTGCCCGATCAACCCGATGAAGAGGGTCTCTCTGCAGCGGATATTGTGAGCTTTAAGGCGATCAAGAAGCGTGTCCACTGCATCAAAGTTTCGAATTTTAGCGAGTCTGTAGATTACAGAAGAGTAGGAAGGGTAGTCATGCTTGAAGCCCATTTTCTGGTAATCGTGGAAGAGGGAGAGGAGATCATCTGGGACACTGGTTTTTTTAAGATCCGCAAGGAATGGAATTGGCTTGCGCTTGAAGGCCGTCCTCCGCCGCTCTTGGGGCGGGTCTGAGGCGGGTTGCCTGTGAGGATAACGGTAAGTGTGATATGATTTGGAGCTTGAGGGATTGGAATTGCAAGAATTGATGTTTGGGATCCTAAACTTGAGGTGTTTCAATCGTAGATTGATCATGGAGGCCAATCTCACTGAGTGTATAGTTGAGTTGAAGTGCTGCGTTCATGGAGTCTGAACTTTGAAGTTGTCGACTTGGCGGCACTCCAAATTTATACGGAGTATTGGAATATTATTTTCAGTTTTTTCTTTGTAGAAATTCTTTTCACTAAATTTATACGGAGTATATAGGTGTGCAAATCCACTAAAATCAAGATATTATGTTTGTAGAGGACTGCTCAGGTCCCTCCGGCGGGACGGGAGGGACCGTCCGAACTTTACTGTTTGGGGTGATTCCCGGTGAAATTTTTTGATGAAATTTTTTGAGCATGTTCCTCATCAAGTCTAGTTTGTCCATACCAAATTTCAGCTCAAAATTCGATCGGGAAGGCAGTCAAATAAATTCTTGAAACTTATTGCACTTTATATATGCGCAGAATGTGCAGTAAGCTTCAAGAATTTATTTGACTGCCTTCCCGGTCGAATTTTGAGCTGAAATTTGGTATAGACAAACTAGACTTGATGATAAACATGCTCAAAAAATTTCATCAAAAAATTCCACCGGGAACCGCCCCAAACAGTAAAGTTCGGACGGTCCTCCCGTCCCTCCGGAGGGACCTGATCTTTTTTGTATATTTGTAATCTTTATTTGTTTTCTCCACCTTTATTTATTTGAGTACACCATATTATATTTTGTTATGTCACTTTGAATTTGATAGATGTGTTGTAGGTTTTTCAGGAGAGATTAGGAGTGTAGAGACTAAAATAATCGGGTTTTGCATGATTATGAGTGGCGCTTGTGATGTCTAACGATGGATAATAGGAATACTATATAATTTAGGAGAGATTGAGCTAAAAAGTGGAGAAGATGATGAATAGTGTGAATGTATTGAATGTGACTTAGATGAGTTATACGTCCTATCATTTTTTCAAATTCTAATTTAAAATGCTTAAATGATCAAAAAAATCTAAAATGCTCAAAAAATTGGATATGAATTTATAAGTGAAATGCTTTTGTACGTTCAAATTTAATTTGATATATGTAAAAAAATCTTTTTTCTTATAATATAGTTAAATATTGTGTAATGTGTATGAGATGAATTGCATTATCACCATAACAAATTAAATTTTATGAGTGAAGTTTGTTTTCTAGTGATATCATTATCACTAAAATAAAAATGTATGCTTATGATGATGACATCATAGCCTATTAGACACTTGCATTGGGTTACTGGGGAGATGTTTCAACAAATTCACAAATTGAGTTCAAAAGCTCCAAGGACCATTAAACAACTCTCCTTTCTCGTTAATATTGTATCTTTCATTTTAAATCAAATTGAGATTGTCTCATATCAAATTCGATAAAATTTATATGATTTTAAATCATTTTTATTTTATTCTTACTATATTAATCACATAATTAAATTCTTTTTTTTAATATGTTAGTGGGAAAAGTTTCTTGGAGATTAAATTATTCCTAAGCGAATATAAGCCTGTCGGGCATTGATCCTATATAGCCCATTCATATAAAAAAAAAAAAAGTAGCCAAGCACAGACACTGACCGATTAAAGACTGTTACTCATTATTCTTCAAAATTTCGAGTCACAAAGGAGGTTTTCAACAATATATGGACATGCCCGTTTGTAAGTTCTTTGTTTCCTCCCCTCTCTTTCAAAACATCTATTTCATGTTACTTCTGTATTTGTATGCATATATAAAGATACATACGGAGTACTTGTTTGACACTTTGACGTCTCTTTAAAAACATCTGTTAATGTTTGGACGTTTCTTCCTTTTGGGTTTTGTATAATTTGTCAATAGATAGGAAGATAGCAGTAAAAAGATACAGTTTTGGATTTATTGTATGTTTCTTCATTTTTTTAATGTAGGCTATAAGTGTATATGTAGTACTCCCACCGTCCCAAAAAAAGTTTCCTTATTGACTTGATCCGAGTTTAAGAAAGTGATAATAAAGTGAAATGTACGGATGTGGTAGCCACACAAAACTTTCCAAAAAAGGAAAAGAGAACTATTTTTGAGACATCTCAAAAAGGAAAGCGAGAACTGTTTTTTGAGGTGGAGGGAGTATGCTAACTTAGAAATAGTTCAAAACAGGGACGAATTTAAGGGGGGCGGGGGGCGGGGGGCGATCACCCCCATTGGACTTTCAAATTTTTCTACTATATATGTAGTATTTTCATAAAATTTTCATACTTTAATTAGATGTATTTGTTTTCGCCCCCCTTAACTTTTTTAGTTTTCAAAGTTAATACTCCGTATATAGTATTACATAGTGTAATACTTAATTGGGGATTTAAAAGAAGTAAAATCTAAAATAATTTAGATAGTTTAAGACTTAGCTAGGATGAGTCCATCCACCGTACAACCGGCTGTACGGTGAGCACCGTACAGCCGGTGGCATTTTTGTAATATAATGTAAAAATTGTGGTTTCTGCTAAATGAGTATTAGTGTAATGCTAATGAGCATTTGTCCAATTTTAATGAGTATTCAGAGTCTAATAATGAGCACCATGTTATTACAACAAAAGCTGACATCATAACTAAAAAGCGGTGTCATTTTCGTAATTTTAGTGAAAATCGTAGTTTTCGCTAGATGAGCATTATTACACCTTTAATGAGCATCTGACGTATTCTACTGAGCATTAAGTATCGAATAATGAGTATTGTGATATCAACTTCATATTTTGTAATTCACTTTCTTTTTCTTATTTTTTTTAATAAAAATTCATTACATTTTATCTACATCAATTCCTATAAATTTCAATATGTGAATCTAATATAATATGATACTTTCGAAATATGCATTGTTATGACATTTTAGAAGTGAGCATAATAGAAATACCAATTGAGCACACATAACTTACAAAATGAGCATTAACATGAAAGTCATAAATTTTTTAGTTGAACATTGATACATTTTCATTGAGCATCAAATATCCTCTATTGAGTATTAGAAAAATGCAATTGAGTATCATGGTTTGTGCCCCCTTATCTATAATCAATTCCCACGTGAATCTAATGCAATAAGTTACTTTTGAAAATATGTACTGATATAACATTTTAAAATGAGCATAAGACCAATGTAAGATGAACGCACGTAGCTTACAAAATGAGCATTGGAAGATTCAAAAGCTAATTTAAATTTTCTAATGTGTTCAAATATTCAATTGTGTATGCTCATTTTTTTAGTCATTATACTCATTCGAATATAACATAAAGTCTTTTCTATAATATGTACATCTAGTGAATTCGTTATTAACTATTGTGTATATGCACATTTATTTTAAGTTATACTCATTTTAGTATAACATAAAACTCATGTTAGTAGTTAACACATAATATTTAATAAACTAATAAATATTCATCTTAAAATTAAAAATAGAAAAAAGAACATTAATATCTAAAATATTTTATAATGCACAAATTAAAAAATTTAAGTTAGAAGCTTGATTGAAAAGTGAAAGAAAGAAACTCAAACAATAAATAATACTACGGTATTTTATATAATCATAATAATTCAATAAAAATAGAGTAAAGATTGCTAAAGAAAAAGTAAAGAAACGAAAAGGAACAAGAAAAATAAACAACAAGATAGAAGCAAAACAACAAGTCGAAATAACGAAATAAGAAAAGAAACGAAGAGAAAAGAAAAAACGTAAAGCAATCCTGATGCGCAGGGAGCCGCAGCGGAGGAAAAAGATAACGTAAGAAGAAGAAAAGGTTACATAGTGGGAAGCTGGGAACACGTTACGTACATAATAGCATTGGATTTCAAATATATTACAAAAATACCCGGCTGTACCATGCTCAAGGTACAGCCGGTTGTAGGATATAATTTACCAGCTAGGATGCCTATTATATAAAAATTCCTAGCTTTGTAATATTTAATTATATTTATTTTATAATTAGTACTAAATTTTGTAAAAGATCAAACGGTATTAAATACCAAACACACTAGTTAAACAGATTTTAGATCATGTGAAGTGAATACAAATTATAAATGTTTGTTAACATTAAATTATACAATTCATTTAGTTCTTACTTTCTAAAAGCAATTTATTGCATAAATAATGAACTTTAACTTATTTTAGCATTAATAAAAATATAATATGCACCATATATATGAATTAACAATACTCCCTCCATATTTAAAAGATCTCTACACTATGGATTATTGACACAATATTTAAGGGGAAAATAGTAGTAGGGGTAATGAATAGTGTAGAAAAAGTAAGAGAGAATATGTAAAAGTAGGAAAGAGTAGATAAAAAGTAGAAATGTAAGGATATTTGATTATTTTTAAAGGAAAAACTTACGAAAAAGGGAAAATGTAGCAAACTTTTAAATACATCCAAAAAGGAAAGTGTAGAGAACTTTTAAATACGGAGGGAAAATACGGAGGGAGTTCTATGTATAATATTATTCTAAAAATAATAATCTCATACATAGTATTGTAATATTAAGAAAACTTCTCATGACTCGTGAACACCCTCCTTGGTAGAATGGTAGACAAAAACTACAATTCAAAAATCAATTCTTTATTCACATAAGATTTATGTGGTTAAACAAGACATAAGTTATTTAAAATGCATTGATTGATGTGTACATTTTAAATTTTTTACCTTCAAATAAATTGAGAAAATGTTATATATCCTTTTATTTTCAAATGAATTTCCTTTGATTTGCAATTTATTATGCTTTAATGTATCCATACTTTTTTCAAGAGCATTTACGATTACAAAATTTAAAGTTATTTTTCCATTGTCTAAACTTAGAATGTAATAGATTTAAACGTCATAGTGTATGTACTAATGAATTCTTTTGAATAAAAGTTCGCCGTGGAGCTCTACAATAGTGAAAAATTTCGTCCTGTTGCACTAGCGAACAAATTTGTCTCGCTACATTGGCGGAAAAAAACTTGCCTCGCTACACTAGCGAAAAAATTTCGCCTCCTACACAAACAAAAAATTTCGCCCCCTTGACTCGAAATTCTGGATCCGTCCCTGGTTCAAAAGGATTGTTTTGAAATTCCTTTGGGCTGATTTTTAGTAGAAAGTCTAGTTTTAGTGCACAACATTGAAATTTCACTTAAATATTGAACTAATCTGTTACCCTAATGTCAAAAATTCGTTGGATAGATTATTTTGTCAAATGTCAAGAAACACATTTTAATCACAGAATTTGAAAACTTCATATTTCTTGAAGAATTTATTCGCAAGATTGACTTAGGGGCCGCTAGGTAAGGGTTATTTAGGTGAAATGGTTGCATGTGATGAAGGAAAAATGTTCAGTAACACACTAACACCCATTTCAACCAATAAGTCAAAAGCTAATTAGGAGAACTAGCCATAATCTGCTACCAAATGGAGATTTGAGGGAACATACGTGTACATCATCATATTTGTGCAAGTGTGCTTGGTTTTCATGGTGTATGATGGACTGGTGTCAAGCTAGTGCTGGACGATTTGTGTCAGATGCATACATAAATTTCTTATTAATGTGACATAAAAAGAGTATTTGTTGCCATGTCTTTTATGTGAATGTTCGATCACTGAAGAATAAAGTTACATATAATTATTCAGTGGACGTTGGGGTTGGAAGAGCAGAAGGAGACAGAGTTCAAGAACCATTTGAGGGCATGACATTTGAGTCTGAATCGGCAGGAAGAGCATTCTATGTGGAGTATGCTAGGCGGGTTGGATTTGCAACTCGTGTATTATCTTCTCGTAGGTCTCAATATGAAAATTGTGTTGTATCACGTGCACTCGGATGTAGAGGAGTTCTGCACACTGTAAAGGATGCAAGCATGAAGCAAGATTATAGACGGCGTGAAGGTTGTGAAGCGATGTTACTCATTCAGAGAGAGAAAAATGGGACCATGTGGGTGGTGAGGAAGTTTGTGAGGGGCCATAGTCATCCCTTGACAACAGATTCACCCCTCAATGGCCATTTATCTTCAGTAAGATTCCTTTTTTCTTTATTTTCTGTATGAAAAAGTTATCATGTTTGTGTTCTGTGATCGTTAAGGTTTGTCTGGAATTTGGATAAAGTTATTGAAAGAACATCTAGGGAAATTTTTTAAAGGAAATGTGAGGGAAATAGTAAACATTTGTTCAAACTGAAATGAGTTATTCTTGAATCTTGATATTTGTTAGAATTACACATTGCTCAGTTAAGGAGAGAGTCATCACTACTAGAAAAAATCACATTTGCTGCGGTTATTTTTGGTCATTTGCTGCGGTTCTGAACCACAGCAATTAAGGGGGCAGCAATTGTAGGAATTTACATTTGCTGCGGTTCAAAACCGCAGCAAATAAGCATGTTTAATTTTTTTTTTAAATTACTTATTGCTGCGGGTGTCCCGGAACCGCAGCAAATAGTTGATTTTTTTTTTAAAAAGTGAATTTTGAATTGTGAGCATTGCACCCAAATTTCTTTTAACACAAAAGTGCAGAACTAATATTACGAAAACAAATCCTGTCCATACCAAATTCACAAGTCTTTCATATCATTTAATAAAGTGCCAATAATGTTACTTGTTGAGAACAAAAATCACCAAACACATCCAATACATAAAAGTTTAATTAAAAAAAAGTACTTGCATTACATGTCTAGCTAGTAGCTACTTTAAAGTTTACAAAATGTTATCACAAACATAGATTGCCCATACGTCTCGAACGTCACTGATTTCATCAATTGACAACGGCTCATCTCTTGAAGTGTTCTTGTACACCTAAAAGTAAAAAGAAATTTCAACTACTGGTTAATTAAAATATTTGTTAGCATTAATAAATCGAAAACTACCTAATATTTGTAGGAGTGAAAAATGTTCAACCAAGTAAACATGGTCAGCAACAACACGTTAATAAATAGTTTGGTAAAATACAAACCCACTCACCCAAAAACAAAATATATCCACCCGATCATAAAAATGTACTACAAATTAAATATAAATTATGCCAGGTACTCAACCATTATCAGAACGGTGAACCTTCAGTAGTCCACCCATTAATCTTTGCAAAAACAGATATACCAAGTACTAACCCATAGGCAGGCATTAAGTCATTAAATTATTTTGGGGTAAATGGTAATTAATCCTTTCTAAATGAAGTACATGTAGCTTGGTATGGGAGGTGATTGAGTTCAAGTCTAGGCTATATGTAATATGAAACTATTCAAAAGTGTATCGGTCAATAAAAAAACATACTAGAAGAATTATTAAAATGTACCTGCTCCATATTTTGACCATCATCACCAATACACTTCACCACATCGTACATGAATCGCATGACATAATATCCACACTCCAATCCACCTATTTGTTTCGCACACTGAAACATAAAGATACACATGGAAAGACATAGTTTCAACAATCCACACTATTTGAGTACACACTAGTATTTCAAAGAAAATAAAAATTTAGACAATACTTAATAGAGGACTCAAAGTACATATATACTAATTAATACCTTCATTTGCTTCCAAATCACTTTTTGCTTATTTTCACCATCGCCGCACATATTTCGAAAAACACTATAACGAAAACAGAAAAATTAAAGCAAAACAATCATAAAATAATGTGAATACAATTTTGATGTATCTAAACAATATCCTAACCTGCTAAACAATGACATGATTAATAAGCGGCGCATTGAGCTGGTGCGAAGCGAATCATACATAAAGATCATGCCACGTGAGATCCATACCACAAGTAATACCCAATGATAGCTACACGAGTAATTTGTGATGCACATTATGTAATAAACACATAAACATAAATATATATCATTAATGTTAATAACTTTGATGAATGAAATTAAAATAAGTAGGTATGAATACATACTTTTCGTAATAAGGAGCAAGAATAATATCTACGCCAGAATTGCGAGATTCTATGATGGCTCGGCGTATGTACTCTCTCACATCTTCTGGATTATGGTCACAAGAAGTTGCACAAATTGCTTCAGGACACATCCACCCAATGTGCGCATTTGTATTCAAACCCTCCGTATACTCATGCATTGCTCTAAAAAAAATCAATTTAATGTACAATGAAAATTGAACACCATAGTAACATAATAAGTAATACAGTTATTATATCTTACTTGATGAATACTTGAACAATAGATATATTAAGCATTGCACCGGACAGAAACTCGGAGATGTCCTCGTTGTTAAGATACACATCACCATCACTTGATTTATAATGGAACACGTGAGCATCTAAAGTAATTACAATGGGATCGTCGCTAGTCCGAGATGCTACAATCGAGTGCAACCATTTGCAATCTTTACTGAGTGACAACAACACACTTTCAGACACTAGAGATCGTTTGACCGGTTTTTTACGGACATCCAATTTCTTCTTGCCCTTTGATGGTTTATTACCCGTGACCTACATATCATTTCTAACTAATAAATAAATATCACATAAATACATTGGATATGTGAAGAAACTCATTAATAAGTAGAGACACTTATACACACACATACTTTTATATATATATATATATATATATATATATACTTTCATATAATTACCTCACTTACAAATTTCACCCAATCAACTGGCCATTGAACAAAACTACCTTGGGCATCGCCTATGGTAAAAAGATTCACAGTGGGAACAGGTACGGGAAGTGCGGCGCCCACATGCTCGTTCAAAATGGTGTCTACGCTCACCTTTAAGTGGCCTTCCATAATTGGCATGTGATGACAACTTACTCCAGTTCTAGAAGGAAATGATGTGCCACCACCCACCTCAAACAATTGTCTGGTTCCAAAATCATTCAAAAACAAACGACATGCTCTTGGACCCTACAGACACATTTAGAACATTCAAAGGCAATAAATAAAGGCTTATCCTTAACATACAAAAGGCAATTCACAAATAAAGCGACTACTAAATACCAGCAACTCATCATTTGGAAATGGATGTGGTGCGTGATTTATTGATGTTGAGGGCGTCGGAATAGAGGCACCACTGGAGAAGTTAAAACCTGTAAGACCCATTTCTTTCAAGATGCTGATCATGTTTTGCTTCACTGTTTCATTCACCTGTTCCTTAAACTCTTCCCTTAATGAGGCCTTTATGGACTCGATGCTTTGTGAAGAACATCCACTACACTGTGATTGACTTGACTTTTTGCCAAATGCTTTCGTATGTCCAACATTAGTGCCACCATATCCAACAACACGGCCAGCGTGGTCCACCTTCTCTCCACGAGCATAGTACAAAGCATCTCTATTGCGCACGGGAACAAATTCACCCATATTCTGTTTGTTCTTATACTCGACCTATTACAATTATATATTACATAAGAGTCTCATTTATAAAAATGAAATTATATTATAAAAATCTTACATATTTATCAGCAACTTCCTTCGTATGCTTTTCTGGAATAACCCGATTTCCCTGTTTATCACGAGCATGCATCGCACAATACCAGTCATCACCTCTATTGAACTGTGTAGTACTTGACCCAATTGATGAAGATTCTGTGCAAGGAGTAGGATAGAAGCCTTCGTCGATCCAAATAGCTCTGCTGTCTTCATAATTTCTTTGGCCCATATGATGATGATGTTGGTTTTGCAAAGCAATCTCTATTGCTTTTTTCCTTGTCTCCTATTAAAAAAAATAGAGTTTAATCTATATTTCATCTACAAATACTTCATAAGTGTTTTTAACAATTACCTCAGCCTCTGGAGTTGTCTTACGTCTCTTAAACTCTTCCCAAATTTCAAGTGTAATGTGACGCCAAATTTGGGGCGGAAGTTTCCCATCTTCATACTTTGATCGCTTTCTAACACCAGTGATCCATCCTGAAACTAACTTCGCCTTAAAATCTCTAAAACGACATGCCACCATGGATAGAACAATGTTCTTTATCCCAGGATCATCATCAAGGTGGAATAAATTCTGAAACAATACAAAACAAATTATTAAATATTCACATTTTAAGAATGTATGAAATACGGATACTATTCAACAAGATTTATTGCTAAACACACAATATAAATCATTTTAACTAAGATACTTACCCTAGTGTCGTCCCAAAGAGTATCTCTCAAACCCGTAGATACGTCAGACCACCTCCAATTGATGTTCAATTTGCGCGTACATAAACCAATATGTTGCCCAAATTTCAATCTCCACTGACCAGTCGCACGGCCAAGTGGATCAAATTGTAAGAACATAGGTTCAGTTACTTTTAGCCCCTTGAACGCCCCCCTCCCAGGTTTCTTACCAGTGACCTTCCTTTTTTGTTTTTTCTTCACCACTTTTTGGATCTCATCCAACGAGTATCCCGCGTCCTCCATTTCTGCTCTAATATCAGCCTCCCGTTCATGATCAGAAATGCGTCGTGATCTAGCATCATCAACTGCATCCTCATCACTTAAACTGTCTTCTTCGTCTATAATAAAATCCTCATCATCATCAGCCATGGTGAAGTGCCTTGGTGGAGTGCCTGCATGTTATGTAAAATATACAAAAACATTAATTCACATTCATTTATTAACACCTATTATATAGGTATATATAATCATGTTTGTCTAATGTTAAACTTTACATTTAAACTCTCTAAAATACATTTGTACCTTAAACTACACTAAGACTTTGGAACTTCAATCCCTTCTTGATGATCTGAACGCATATATTGCACGTCGATATCTTTCTCTTCAATGAGTAGGATTTTAGGGACCGAAAAGGGTGGGAAGTCTTCGTGTTGATTATACTCATCCTCATCACTAACATCAGAAATGCCTAAAATATGTCTCTTCCCTGGAACAACAACACACCATGTGTTGTCAACAGGATCTGTTATGTAGAAAACTTGTTTAACTTGTGTTGCAAGTATGAATGGCTCATCACTATCGCGGAAACGACTAGTGTCAACTAGAGTGAACCCGCAATCATCTATCTTCACACCACGTCGGTTGTTTTGAACCCACTTACAT